ATCTAGACAAGACATGAGCAGACAGAACAACAGCTTTTTATTGTAGTATTGCCTTGATAATTTTGAACATCTACAAGCAATGTTGTGCAGACAGACTTTCAGTTTTAATGTGTTTTCAACAAATTGGTAAGCTTTCGTAATTGCAAAATATTTTTGCGGCTAAAACAAGTTTGTTGATTTTCTTCCTGTTTGTGTGATTATCCTAGTACATTACCTTTTAAAAATGAGCTTTAACCAGCTTTCTTGTTTTTGACTGTTATATGTGAATGCTGCCCGAAGGAGGTCATATATGTATATGTGAATACATGTAAAAAGAATGCTGAATAAAATTTGCGTACCATTTGTCGTATATTACAGAATTTAAGAATGCTTTAAGGTGCTTATATGTGTCGTAAACATTACGATTTTTAAGCTTACTTTACAGTGCTTAAAAGTTGCTTAAATAAGTGCCATTTAGTACCTTTACGGATAAATTAAGCTAGCTTAAATCACTACATTTAAGGATCCTTTAAGACGCTTAAATGTAGTGTAAACATTACGCTTTAAGCTAACTTTACGGTGCTTAAATGTTGCTTAAAAGAGTGCCATTAAGCACATTACGGATAAATTAAGCTAGCTTAAATCACTGTATTTACGGACACTTTAAGACGCTTAAATGTAGTGTAAACATTAAGATTTAAGCTAACTTTACGGTGCTTAAATGTTGCTTAAAAGAGTGCCATTAAGCACTTTACGGATAAGTTAAGCTAGCTTAAACCAAGCTTAAATCACTGTATTTACGGACACTTTAAGACGCTTAAATGTACCGTAAATATTGACATTTAAGCTTACTTTACGGTGCTTAAATGTTGCTTAAGGTGGTATGGAAGGGTGGCTGAGGACTTTGGGGACATCCTAAAAATACTACTTAGGATTACACAGGATTATCATTGATTTTTTTTGTGTAAGTACCTTAGTGCAAGATGATAATTTATGCAAATTTTGATGACGTAATCATGACGTCATCTCGAGTTATGAGCCACGCCCCCTTTTTAGAAAAATCAATTTTTCTGGTCATTGATTTTTTTTGTGTAAGTACCTTAGTGCAAGATGATAATTTATGCAAATTTTGATGACGTAATCATGACGTCATCTCGAGTTATGAGCCACGCCCCCTTTTTAGAAAAATCAATTTTCTGGCCAGCGCTTTGGTTTTTATTCAACATATTTTGTTGAAAGGCACACACTAGTAATAGGAACAAACGTATGCGAGCATTTTTTAATATCTCAAAGTGTTGATTTTTTATGAATTTTTTTTCGTAAATGTCAACAGTGCCATGCGCCAGCACCCCTCCCCAACATATAAAGCGGCGCAGTGTGTCGGCCTCGCATACGATTTTAGTTTATAAGCTTATCTTTCAAAAAATACCACCTTTTTGTCCCTTTCCATGAACAGTTTTTCCACAGTTTCATTCTTAAAATGCTGTATATGTCGTAGGGGTTACATAATGTCCATTTTGAAGCCCGAAAGAGCCGAAATCGCCAATTTTTTGTCGCCATTCCAAGGGCGCCCATCCCTCCCACCAAAAAATGGGTAATTGACCTTTCAGCACGCTGTATTTAGCTTACTGCGACGCTATTTGGAAAAACAGGCCGGGGATATGTCCAGTAAAAAGAACAGCCAAAAGAACGCTAAGATTTCGCGGGAGTAGGGGTCACGTGACTCACCCAAAATGGCGGATGGCGTGTCTTCTTTGCGAGCGGAGAAGCTGTGCGCTTTGCGGCAGCATTTGGGCCGG